GGGTGGGGGGGGGGGGTACGTTAGCACGAGAGAGATGTCCATAAACTGACTATTTACTACGCCCAACACGAGTTGTCCTGAGACTGACGTCTTCTTGTTGGCCAGCCGATTGGCGCCTCAAAACACACACACACAAACACACAAACACACACCTGCACGTGAGCGATGAAGACCCCCTCAGAAGGGGTAGTACCACCCGCGATGATGGCGCCGATAACGCCCAGCACGAGCCACGGCCAGTCTCCCTTGTTGAGCGACCACATGCGACCCCTTGGTTGGCGAGGAGACCAGAGACAGAAGTAGGTCCAGAGAGCGAAACGTGTAGACATCCGTTCTTTAGCGATTCATTATTTATTGTCCAGGTGACTACAACTGTCGAGGGGCCTGCCCTACTCTCCAGCCCCGCATGGAATCCACCGTAGTCGGCGTGCTACGTGCACAACTCTGATTTACAATCGATATTATGAGGCCGACCCGAGCACGCACATGCATTACGTAGATGGCGTAAACGATAGATACCAGCCCCTTGGACCTAATTATGAACGCTCGACTACACGAGGACGAGTAAAATGCCTACATCAAACGGCACGTTTTCGGAAAAGCTCTCGGCGCAATGGTTCCAACGCCGCCAATTTCGGCACCGTGGCTCTTTTCTGCTGTCGATAAGTCCAGGGTGTGTGGTATCTTACGTCATGTACCGTACGAACACCTGACAACGTTGTGGAGCAATCGAGCTTTGAAATCGGTCAGCGGGGGGGGGAAGGGTCACCATCTCTCCGCCTCTGACGGCAAGCACTCAAATTGAGTCAGACTCGGCCACCCACATCCATACCAACGCCGACGTCAGTGTGCGTCCGACAATTGCAAACTGCTGACGCGAGTAACAAGTTCAACTTGTTTTCGAACATGTTGGCAACTGAGGGGGTATGCATTCCGCCAGCATCATTCTTAACGACACGACAACTGCATACATGCACCGGGGATCTGAAACGCAACATATCGTCCATAGCGAAGACTCCAACCCATCCGTTTCGACTGTGGTTATATCTCGAGCGGGTAGCCTTTTCTGTGATTGTACATTTGCAAAAAAAAAAAAAACAGTGGCATGCTGTACCTGGGAGGCTTGGGGAGCTTCTCCTCCTCCACCTTGGCGTCCTTCTTGCCAGCCGAAGCCGAGAGGTCGATCTCCTGGCCGGGGTTGACGTTGGAACTCTGGCGACGCAGCAAGGCGTCGCTGCCACTCGCCTCCCTCGTCACCTTCGCGCCTGTTTAGAGGTGTAGGTTTGTTGTTGGTACGGCGGAAAGAGAGCACGAAAACAGCCAGCATCAACAACTGCGGGAAACTACAGTTCAGCGACAATGTACTCTTGAATCTTCGAACGGTTTGTGCTACGAATATTAGCTAGCCTAGCGATTGGTGCGCGCCGACATCGACGACCTTGAAATAAAATACCACGAGTTTAAAGGTGGTACGGCGGAAAGAGAGAGACAAAACCGACAGTTTCGGACAAGCGTGGTGCTTCCCACACCTGGTGGGTGTGTCGGCCTGTCACTCCCGAGAAAAGGACGAAAATGAGGATGAGAGTTTCCGAGAAAAGGACGAAAATGAGGATGAGAGTTTCCGAGAAAAGGACGAAAATGAGGATGAGAGTTTCCGAGAAAGGGACGAAAACGAGGATGAGAGTTTCCGAGAAAGGGACGAAAACGAGGATGAGAGTCTCCATGTGAAGCACATTTCAAGCAAAAAGGGAAACACAAGTCAAAACAACCAGGGTGAGAGTTTTCCATGTGAAGAATTCGTCAACATAAAAAAGAAAAAAGAAAACTAAATGAATGTCTGACCAACGGGGGTGAGAGTTCTCCATGTGAAGCATTTTTCCTAACATGAAAAAGAACAATGCTTGTTGCAGATGCTTCTCACCGGACAAGCTCTTCTGCCTGGCCAAACGAGCTTGAATGTCCGCTTCGATCTCCTCCTCAGTCTTGCCGCCCTGATGAAAAAACACAAGGAAGCGGGCAGATTGTAAATGATGAGCACCACAAATGAGCAAAATATCAGTTGCCATATATTGGTCCGGGCGTCGGTTGTCCATTTCGTTACGGCAGCACAGAGGCTACAACGACGTTGATCATGATTGACACGACGCTCCAACGTCACTCACAACGTACTTTGTAGAGGCTCATGTTTCCACCGCACGGGACCGCATTACGAGGGCAAAACCCCACCGAGCGAGAGAGCTCTGAGTACACCCCCCCCCTCGTCCAGAACCATTTCCGTAACCCCTCCCTTACCCCCCCCCTCAAAACCCAGCCCCTGTTGGCCCTACTTGTACCTGGCTAGTGCACAGCATGTGGTAGACTCCGTTGAGGGCGAGGAGCTCGGAGTGAGTTCCCAGCTCGACGACGCCCTTGTCGATAACGGCGATCTTGTCGGCGCCTCGGATGGTGGATAGACGGTGGGCGATGGTCACCGTCGTGCGGGGCTTATCCTTGTGGAGCTTGTCCAGGGCGGCTTGCACCACCTGTCATGTAAAAAAAAAAGAGTTGTGGCCGTTTGAGTCCAGGGTCAAAAACATTTGAAAAGGACAAAGGTCACGTAATGTCGTAATGTACTGCATACGGTCGAAAGGTCAAGGGTAAGCAGCGGTTGATAGGCCAGTCTCTCTCTCTCTCTCTCTCTCTCTCTCTCTCTCTCTCTCTCTCTCTCTCTCTCTCTCTCTCTCTCTCTCTCTCTCTCTCTCTCTCTCTCTCTCTCTCTCTCTCTCTCT